GAGTTTGCTCTAGAGGCTGAGGCTTCTAGGGATTACCCAAGGAGGAATGCAGCAGGTGAGGGGTTGGTCTCCTCTCCCTGGGGCAGATCCCTGTCCTGGGTGATGCTCCAAGGGGTCTTGGTGCTGCTCCACTCCTCTGTAAAGGCTCTTCTTTGCTTGTAACTTGGTTTTGCTTATATGTCTCTGTTTGAGCTTGCCTTGGAAGTGTCTGGAAAGGCAGGAGAGCATTATCCTAGGGTGTTGACCACACAATCAAGGGTGGCATTGGAATATTGCCCAGGTTGGTGGTGGAATCACCACCAATTTAAGAGGCATCTGGGTCTGGCACTGGGTGATGTAGTTTAGTGGTTACAGTGGTTGTGCTTGTGTGTGGTTGGATTTGATAATCTTAAGGGTTTCTTCGAACCTGGATGATTCTGTAATCTTCATGTCTGTCCTTCTGTCTCCACAGAGCACACAGGAGGAGGTGTCCTCTGAAGAGGAGGATGAGGAGATGCCAGAGGTAAGTGCCACTTTGCTCCACGAGGATGTGCACTGGAGAGCTGAGCACAGGGAGATGCCTGCTGAGAGGTGCAAGGGCACAGGGATCATGTCTGGGAGGAGCTTGTGGCATTCAGGCAGGGAATTTTGGCTCAAAGACTGGACAGTTCCCAGTATTTTGCTGCTGAGGACACTGAGCCACGACTGGGAGCCACATGTCCACGAGCCCTGGGGGACTGCAGAGCCCGAGCACCATCGCCATGACCTCCAAACCTGCAAGCAGAGCTGCTTGGACAGTAGCTGGAGCCTGAAATTTCCTCAGGAGGGCTGGGATTTCCATGCTGCCGTTGCTGGTGGGGAAGTCACGGTGCAAACAGGTCTCCCACAGAGAGGATTAGGTCGGGAGGCTGAAGTGTGAGCGATTGCCGGGAGCGGCGGAGGCAGCCGTGCTGCACTGCAGGCTGGGGACATCATGCTGCAGAACCCACAGGCTCTGCTTGTTTGGTTTGCAGTTTAGAGATCTCTAGAAGTGGGTGGAATAATCTTGGATCTCCATGGTGACGTTGAGCGATGCCTCACACACTTCTCCGGGGTGTGAGCGGCGCGGCGGAGCCTGGGGGCAGGTCACTGAGCAGCACACCCCAATAGCCCTGGGGCTTCAGCACAGTTCATCTCCTGCTAAATCGAGGCTGGGGTCCCCAGGGAAAAGGAGGAGGGTTAAACTGGCACCAGCATAACCTCACAGATCTGCAAACCTGCCACTTCATGTCACGTCGGTGATGTGTGAGGCCTCACGCTCCTGTGGGCTGGGAAAGAAATCCTCAGGAGCTGAGCATTCCTCCTCGTGCTTTCTGCTAACATCACCATGCAGGGAGAACTCTCTCACGTAGAGCAAAGGTTTGGTGCTGAGCAGTGGGATTTGTTGGGCTGTGCTGGAGGAGCAGAGCTCTGCCCTGGCACACGCATCCATTACGCAGGTTAATCCACTCGAGGGATTTTCTAGGAGGATCTATTTTCCTGTATGACAGTCTAAAAATGTCAAAGCCCTTCCAAAAACTGCTGCTCAGCTAGAATAGCCATGGCCAGCCCAGAGTGGCTGGAGTAAACACTTGTTTCAAAGATTTAGCACCAGCACTAGAGCTGTGTGTGCTCACAGCCACTTCCAGGCAGCTGATCACTGCCTGTATGGGCCTAGGTAGCTGAGACTGGTTTTTACTGGTTATTCACACTGGGGGCTTGCACTGAGGAGTGTTGTGGGCAGGGGTGAGGGGCAGAGGCTCTGCAGGGGTTGGGTACCACGTCAGGGCATGCTGAGCTGATCTAGAGCCCCCAGACGTGCTGTGTCTTCTGCCCCATTTGTATCTCAGATCAGGACTTTGTGGTTCCCAGGGAGGGAGAGTTGCACTGGAAATCCTTCCTGGGTCAGGGCAGCTCAGTACCCCCAGCAGGGAGGAGCAAAAGCACATCTTGAGCTCTGCTCTTCCCTTCCCAGGACAGTGAAGACTTGGACCACTATGAGATGAAAGAGGAAGAGCCAGCAGATGGGAGGAAGACCGAGGATGAAGGCATTGGGAAAGAAAACTTGGCCATTTTAGAGAAAATCAAAAAGAACCAGAGGCAAGATTACTTAAATGTACGTGTCACCCGGTGGGGTTGGGGGAGCACAGGGGCCCAGGGCTGAGAGTGTTGGGGGCACCTACCAGCCCTGAGCCACAGGGGCTGTCCCCAGAGGTCCAACAGAGGCTCTCAGGAGCTGCTGATGCTGAAGCAGAGAAGTCTGTGAACTGCTTCCTCAGCTCAGGGAAAGCCTCAGGTGTCCCCAGGGCATCAGTAGCATGTGGGGCAGAGATCTGGGGCTCCCCTCCACCCCCAGCTGTGCCTCACCTGAGGCTGTGGAGGAGGTTACTGGGCTGTGCTTTTGCCCCCCTGGATGGCTGAGATCATTGGGCAGTAGAGAGGAGGACAGAGAGGCATTTCTGCTGCAGGGGAGGCATATTTGGGGCTGGGGGCAGACAGAGGTGAGGGACACAGCAGAGTCTGGTACAGAGGCTGGACAGGACTGAGCTCAGGTGTTGAGCTCACAGAGCACTGGCCATGGTGGGTTCATGGGATGGTACAACTCTCCCTCCCATCCCTGCAGGGTGCGGTGTCTGGGTCTGTGCAGGCCACCGACCGGCTAATGAAGGAGCTCAGGGATATTTACCGATCACCAAGTTTCAAGGGCGGTGAGTGCTGGGGGGGCTGCAGGGAGGGAGCTGCTGTTTCCTGCTGGGGGGGGTCCTCCTCCTCTTAGGGGGCTTTGGAGCTGTCCTGCTCAGCTGGGGGGACGATCTCTGCCCTTTGGTGGCTGTGGCTCTGTCAAGTGAGCAAAACCACCTTCTCCTCTCTGTTCCCTGCCAGCGCTGGGTGGGAGTGAGGAGTGTGCTGTGGGTTGGAGGATCATCTGGTTTTGAAAGGGATGATGCTCCTACCCCTTTCCTGAGCCCAAGGACTCAGGGAAAGAAACTGCTGCTCTCAGGACCTGGATAAGCACTGCTCCTTGTGTGCCTGGCTGAGGTTGTGCTGCAGGGCCCAGGGGATTTGAGGTCTGGGGGATGGCTCAGCCTCCCCTTGTTCTCACCCCACGGTGACCCAGCTCTGCTCTCCTTGCAGGATACTATGCAGTTGAACTAGTGAATGACAGCCTGTACGATTGGAACGTCAAACTCCTGAAGTAGGTGTCCAGCTTGGGGTCGTGGTGGGAGCTGTGAGCAGGGCAGGGCAACACCTGCCACACCTTGGGTTAGACTCTCTGGGGCAGCTGTCTCCACACTAGGAAGGAGATGATACCTCCAGAGAACGAGGAGGTGGTCTGAGGGCTCTGCAAGTCTCTGCTATTCCCAGAGTCCAAAATGAGGTGCATCAGGCAAACTCTCACACCTTCCAGACACCAGTGCTGCCTTTCCCTTGGGCCAGGCAGTCTATTTTTAAGCTGTCGGCCTGCAAAGGAGTGTGATGGTCCCTGCAGAGCAGGAGCAGAGTGCTGCCAGGCTGGGGTGGTGGCAGGGAATGTGGCTGAGAGAGCTGCACAGCCTCAATGTGACCCTCTGGGGCTTCTCTGCCGCAGGGTTGACGAGGATAGCGCTTTGCACAACGATCTCCAGATCCTCAAAGAGAAAGAAGGAACAGATTTCATCCTCCTCAACTTCTCCTTTAAGGTAAGGCTCCCCCTCCTCGAGTGCTGCCTGTCTCAGTGAGGCCTCACAGAACACCTTTCTCAAGGACTTCCCTTCTCTCATTCCAGGACAACTTTCCTTTTGATCCACCGTTTGTCAGGGTCGTGTCCCCGGTGCTGTCAGGGGGGTGAGTGACCATCTGCCTTCCTCTGTGCTCTCAGTGCTGCTTCCTGCAGCAGTTTTCCCTAGGTTTACCCCTGACCTCCCTGACACGGGTTTGACATAGCAAAGCACAGACAGGATTGGTGAAACTCTGGCACAGGTTGCCCAGGGAGGTAGTAGATGCCCCAACCCAGTCAGTGTTCATTCCAGGTTGGATAAAACCTTGAGCAACCTGCTCTGCTGGGAGGTGTCCCTGCCCAGGGCAGGGGGTTGAGACTGGATGATCTCTAAGGTCCATTCCAACCCCTAAAATTCTATGATTCTGTGGTGGATTTTTTAGTGTATTCTTTCAATCTGAGATCGAATTGGAGATGTTTCACCTCTGTAGCAGTGAGTGGGTGCAGCTGTGTCCATCCCCTGGGGTAACTTTGCCCCATTCTTTCCCCAGGTATGTTCTGGGTGGTGGTGCCATTTGCATGGAGCTGCTCACGAAACAGGTGAGTGCTGGTCCCTGTGGGGTCTGGGGCAGCTGCTCTGCCTGCCACACT